CCTGGGCTCAAGTGATCTAATCGCCTTGGCCTCCCAAAGTGCTGGGATTACGGGCGTGAGCCACCAAGTTTCACCTACTGAACTTTCAGAAAAGTGCCATGAGGTCGCTCTTCTAATCCATGTTACATCTGGTGGGGCTAAGGCTCGGGAGGGAAAGCCTGCTGCTCAGGGTTACTTGTGACACTTGAGGAGTCGCCCGTGAGCCAATTCATTCCAAGCCCAAGCCCTTCTCCCATGCACCGGCATGTCCAGGTCCCTCAGCAGCAAGGACACAATGTGGGGCCCCCTCAACTGGGGGTCTCTTCAGGCCTCTTCACGCCCCACCAGTGGCATGTTCATACATTGGCTCTTTCCTTTGTGTGCATTAATTCATTTGTGTGCATTCATTCATTCATTCTTTCTTTCTTTCTTTGGTGTGTGTATTCATTCATTCCTTTGTGTGTGCATTCATTCACTCATTTCTTGGTTTGGGCATTCATTCACTCATTCCTTTGTATATGCAGTCATTCATTGCCCCCTCCCTCCCTCCCTCCCTCCCTCCCTTTCTTCCTCACACGTTTTTGACCCCTCAGGGCTATGCTCATTCCATGTGCTTATTGGCTCCCATCTAGGTCATACTGGGTAAGAACAGAGAGGACACTTCTGCCGGGCCATCGGCTGGGACCTAGTCCAAGGCAGTGAGCTGTAAGTGGGAAAGGACCACCATGCAAGAGCTCAGCAGGACATGGAGGCCTGACAAGGCTGGGGGGTGGGAGGAACACATCCTGGGTGCCTTCCCCAGCCTCCCCTCCCCACCCCTCCTCATTCACTCAACACCTATCAGGGGCTGCTCGGGGCCTGGTCCCGCCTGCCCTCCTCCAGCTCACAGGGCCAGGGTGCCCAGAGAGAATTACAGGACCAGTCTGGGTGCAGTGGTTCATGCCTATAATCCCAGTACCTTGGGAGGCCATGGAGGGTGAATAATCACTTGAGGTCAGGAGTTTGAGACCAGCCTGGCCGACATGGTAAAAACCCGTCTCTATCAAAAATACCAAAAATTAGCTTGGCCCACTTGGTGGTGCATACCTGTATCCCAGCTACTAGGGAGGCTGAGGCAGGAGAATGACTTGAACCTGGGAGTTGGAGATTGCAGTGAGCTGAGATCATGCCACTGCATTCCAGCCTGAGTGAAAGAGCAAGACTCCAACTTAAAAATAAAAGAGAGGCTGGGCGAGGTGACTCACGCCTGTAACCCCAGCACTTTGGGAGGCTGAGGCAGGCAGACCACGAGGTGAGCTGCATGAGTCTTTGCATGACTTCCCTGTTTTATGATTCTGTGTAAAGTCTCTGAGGCCTTTGTCAGGTGTGAGGGCTCTGTGTGAGAACCAAGGAAGGTCTCTGAAATTTGCAGGAGGTCTCTGTGGGACTGAATGAAGTCTCTCAGTGTGGTCTCTGTGGGGTTCTCTGAAGGGGTCTGTGTGAGGACTCTGGGAATCTCAGTGCTGTGTCTCTGTGGGGCACCATGAGGTCTCTGAGAGCTCTGTGGGGTCTCTGGAGGCCGCAGTGTGTCTCTCTCTGTGGCAGTGAGTGGTCCCGGTGGGCTCTCTGTACGAGATGTCTCTGTGAGCTTTCTGTGGGAGGTCTCTGTGGCCTCCACTGCTGGCCTTGCTGCACCCCATGGGAGACTGAGTAGCGGAGGGGTAAGGGCTTGCTCGTGCCTTCCTATGTTCTTGTGGGTCGGCCAGCGTTTCCTGTGGCGCTTCTCCTGGCCTGAGCCGTGGGGTCCACACGCCCAGCTCCTCCACGTCCCAGAAACTCGCCTGTCGGTTTCCTGAGGGAACCCAGCAGCAGCCAGGCATGGCCCATCCTCAGCAGTCAGGCTCCCAGCTCTGTGACTCTCTCTCCTGAGCTCCCCAGGGGGACTGGAGCTGATCTCTGCTCCAGGTCCCAGCCCCTCCTGCTGGTCCTGGCTCTGCTGTCACTGCTGGGTCCACCTTGGAGGCTGCCTCAGTCATCTGGGCCCCAGACAGGCCTGGCCCTAGGACAGGCCACATGCTGGGGACTGTTGCTTACTGCCCCCTTTACCCCAAGTGCCAACCAGTCCCCCACGTGCTGGGGGCAGGGCCATTTCCATTTTCATCTAAATCAGTGGCACTGCCTGGCACGGTCCTCTCCACCATGGAAACGAGGCCCCCGGAACTGGGCCTCCTGCGTGCCTGTATGTGCACAAGGCATGGAAACTCCCTCTAGAGACCTCACACTCCTCTCCCTGATTTGTGGGGACTTCCTGCTTTCCCATAGGGAGAGGGCCCAGAGAGGAGGAAGCTGTGCTGAAAGCAGAGGGAGACAGAGCGGGGACGGCTCCTGCCCTGCCCACCCCATGCCCATTCTGGACAGGTCACTTCCAGCTGCCTTGTGTGTTCAAATCCTGCCTGCCTGCCTGCCTGCCTGCCTGCCTGCCTGCCTGCCTCTTCCCCTACTGGTCTGTGGGGCAAGAAAGGACCTCAGGAGCCGGGGGAGATTTGCTGTGTGACCCCAGCTCAGCTGCTGGGGTCCTTCTAAGTCACCACCTCTCCTCTGGGGGCAGTCCCGGGGCTATGTGTATGTTAAAGGTCACCAGACTCCCGAGTCATGCCTGGGGTTCTCTAGTCCTTGCTTTTTCACCTGTCGTCAACACATCCTTTTAAAAATTCAGTACGTAGGCCAGGTGCGGTGGCTCATGCCTGTAATCCTAGCACTTTGGGAGGCCCAAGGCTGGTAGATCACCGGAGGTCAGGAGTTTGAGACCAGCCTGGCCAACCTGGCAAAACCCCATCTCTATTAAAAATGTAAAAAATGAGCCAGGTGTGGTGGTGGGTGCCTATAATCTCAGCTACTTGGAAAACTGAGGCAGGAGAATCACTTGAACCCAGGGGCTGGAGGTTGCAGTGAACCGAGATTATACCACTGTACTCCAGCCTGGGCAAAAGAGTGAAACTCTGTCTCAAAAATATTCAGCAGGTTACTATGCGCAAGCTTATTAAAGATGTTAAGAAATTCATCTTCCCTTATTCACTTTGCCTTCTCACTGGTCTGGCCCTCTGTGTTGGGGGAATTGCGTTTTTAGGTCTGCGGTCTGGGAGCTGGAACCGGGACAGACCCTGGGGTTGGGGGGGCGGGGGGGACCAGGATGAGCCATAGGCCCCTCTATGCCTGTGGAAGGGGTTGGAATGTCAGAGGCTCACAGGTCATGGCACCGCCTACGGAGCCCTCACACCACTTTGCCTCCTTTTCAATTCTCTGTCTGCATCCCTCTGTAGTTCTACAGAGTCCCACCATCGGAAGCCTCTGCGCACACAGGCATGCCCTGCCCATTCACCCAGAGCTACTTCTCTGAAGCTGAGACACTCATAGGTGAGACAGACAAAGGCAGGAAAAAACAGAAAAAATGGGGTGCAGAATGGAAACAATGGGCAGAAATTTCATCCATCCAATCAAAATATATAAAGAAAAGGCAGAAAATAACAAGAGCTAAATAGTGAACATCAAATGGAAGGCATACAATCAGATAAATCATTATTACAGTAAATAGAGGTAAAATTCTATCAACAGAGACTGTAAGTTGGATTAGAAAAAAACAAAGGTGTCTATTGTAAACAAATAAGTAATGTAACGTAGAAACAGATATGGGTACAAAATAAAACGCTGGGCAAAGACACATCATCCAAATGCAACAAAAGTAAAAACAAGTGGCCGTGTAAGTATCAACGTGGCATTTTTAAAATATATTCTCGATATTAATCTTATATATGTATGTATGATCTGCAAATATTTTCTTGCAATCCATGAGTTGCCTTTTCACTCTACTGATAGTGTCCTTTGATGCACAAAACACTTTTATTTTGATTAAATCTATCTATTCTCCTATTGGCTGTGCTTTTGGTGTCATTGATCCAACAAATCATTGCAAAATCCAAATCACGAAACTTTTCCTTTATGCTTTCTTCTACGACCTTTATAGTTTTAAGTCTTATGTTTAGACCTTTGATCCAGTTTGAGTTAGTTTATGTATATACACTATGTATATATCCACATGCAAAGAGTGAGGTTGGGCTCTTACTTATACTATATATATATATACGCCATCTGTATACATATAGTATGGTATGTATCATATAGTATATATATATATATAAAGTATATTATATATAGTGTGTATATGTACATGTATATAAGCTATATACTATATATGCATATATACTATATACATACACACATACATTATATGTTATGTTTTAAATATATATACAAATATATTTTAAAAAGCTCAACATCACTGATGATTAGAGAAATGCAAATCCAAATATGTTATATATTACATATGCATTAGCTAGGATATATAATCAGCTATAATGTATATATTACATTATATATATTATATATTATCATATGTAATGGCATTTATATCATTATTATATATCCAAAAGAATATAAATCATTCTATTACAAAAATACATGCACGTGTATGTTCACTGCAGCACTGTTCACAACAGCAAAGACATGGAATCAACCCAAATGCTCATCAATGGTATACTGGATAAAGAAAATGTGGGGTATATATACACCATGGAGCACCATGCAGCCATGAAAATGAATCAGATCATGTCTTTTCATACACAATGAAGCTGGAAGCCACTATCCTCGGCAAACTAACACAGGGACCCAAAAGCAAATATTACATGTTCTCACTTATAAGTGGGAGCTGAACAACGAGACCATGTGGACACAGGGAGGAGAACAACACAGACTGGCACTTGTTGGGGGAGGGCAGTGGTAGGGAGAGCATCGAGAAAAATGGCTAATGCATGCTGAGTTTAGTACCTAGATGATAGGATGACAGATGCAGCAAACTACCAAGGGTACACATTGACCTGTGTAAGAAAACTGCCTGTCCTGCACATGTACCCCAGAACTATAAAGAAAATAAACACACAAAGAAAATTTTAAAAAATTATCTTAATTGTATGTGGGTAGGTCCCTTTGACTGAAAGTGAAATGGAAACAATTAAAAAAAAACACCTTACTATTCAAAATTTACAAAACTAAATAAGAGTAAAACAAATTTACATTTTGTCCCTGGATTGATATAAGACAAAAACATTGTGTGGGAAAGCTGGAGTTGAGGACGAATGAGATTCTGAGAATAAAAATCCCTGGTACATAGTCAAAGTTTCAGAGTCAACTTCAGATTTTCAAGGATTATAAAATAGATAACCTCATACCACCGTCTCCAACAGATAAAAGGAACCAGATAATATCTGTGTTCCAGGGAGAAAGAACAGAAAATTGGCTGAGTTCTGTCACTGACAAAACTTAGCGGGAAGGAGGAATCTGGAAGGTGGGAGAGGGTGGAGGGATCCCAGGCTTGCGAGGTGGGGAGGGGCTGTGTTTCAGCCTCCCCCTCTCGCTGCCCCTCCCCCATCAGGGGCCCTTTGTGATGTGAAGGCCCCAGCTCTGTGACGCAGGCCTGGGCCCCAGTCCCTAGTCTGCAAGGGAATGCCCAGAGCTCAGTTGCTTGAAGGCAGCATACCTATTCAGATGGCTAATATTCCGTTTCCTCTAAAATTTCTTAGTGATTTGTGGATAAACACCCCCAGCTTTACACCATGGGTATTGGATATCTTCCTAACCCTGGTATTTGTTGTGGAGTTATATTTCCTATTAGCCCCCTGCCTCTCTTACTTCCATCATGATCCACCCTCACCATCGCCTGGGGAGAAGAGAATGGTAAGAAGCCCTCAGGCCAGACCCACACAGCACAATTCTCTCCTTTCTTTCTATTATTAGCTCTACTTTTCCAAATCCAGTGGAGAGACTTCCGCAATGGGAAGTGTCAGGAGAGACCAGAACATGGTCCTTCCAGGGAGAGGCAGAGCAGCCACGGGTTGGTCAGGACTGGAATTTCCATCCCAAGCTCTAAGTCCATCTGTGGGGGAGCACAGGAGGCGTCAGGGCAAAACCAAACCCCTGGACTCAGTGGTGAGGACCAGTCAGGACATGGGGGAGGTCTGGGGGGGGGCGCTCATAAGCCCCTTCCTGGGGCAGGTGGCTGGGGACCCAGCCTCGTCTGTGTGGGGTGATCTGGGGGCTGTGCTGAGCCTGTGAGGGCCTCCCCCAACCTGGGCCTGGAGTCTCCTCTGATCTGAGAAGCAGAATCCTACCTGACAGCTCAGGTGTGCCCGCGGGCCTGAGCCTGGGTGTTTGTCGAGTAGAGGAGCACCTCTACCGTTACTTACATTATATTTTATATTATATAGTATACATTATGTATATTATAGTTTATATATGAAATATATTATATATATATTTCCTCATATAGTAAACCCCTCTTTGTGGTGGGTTTTATTATGTTTGTTTTTTGAGATGGAGTCTCACTCTTGTCGCCCTGGCTGGAGTGTAATGACGATCTCGGCTCACTGCAGCCTCTGCTTCCCAGGTTCAAGCAGTTCTCCTGCCTCAGCCTCTGGAGTAGCTGTGATTACAGGCACACGCCACCATGCCCGGCTAATTTTTGTTATTTTTAGTAGAGACAGCGTTTCTCTATGCTGGCGAGGCTGGTCTCAAACTTCTGATCTCAGGAGATCCACCCTTCTTGGCTTCCCCAAACGCTCGGATTACAGGCGTGAGCCACCGCATCTGGCCCCCTCTTTGTGTTTTTCTAAGAAGAAAAGCAGTTTATCAGGCCGGGCGTGGTGGCTCAAGCCTGTAATCCCAGCACTTTGGGAGGCAGAGGCGGGCGGATCACGAGGTCAAGAGATCGAGACCATCCAGGTCGACATGGTGAAACCCCGTCTCTACTAAAAATACAAAAAAATTAGCTGGTCACGGTGGCGCGAGCCTGTAATCCCAGCTACTCAGGAGGCTGAGGCAGGAGAATTGCCTGAACCCAGGAGGCGGAGGTTGCGGTGAGCCGAGATCGCACCATTGCACTCCAGCCTGGGTAACAAGAGCGAAACTCCGTCTCAAAAAAAAAAAAAGAAAAGCAGTTTATCATCCACTTACTTAAACATGAGTGGGAGGAAGCACACCGCTCCCTGAGCAAGACGAGGGAGCTGTGCGGTTCGTGAGCGCCACAGCTGGACTGGGTGCGGAGAGCAAGAGCTGGTCTCAGCCCCTCGCCCTTTCTTGTCTCCCAGGGTCACCTTCTCTCCCAGGGTCAGCGGAGGGGGAGGCCCAAAGGCAGGAAGAAAAACTGCAGTCTGAAAGGTAAGGCTCTGCCGGGGCACACTAGAGTTCATTTGATCTCGTCTGTCCCCGGAGAGAAGCGACTGTCTGAGGAAGTCAATTGAAGAAGCCTGAAGTGGGGGCTCCTAGGAAGGAAATCAGAACCCCGGGTCCCTCTCAGATTCCGTGCTAGCATGAAACCATGGTGGGCCAAGGACTGGGTGTTCCCCAGCAGGGCACAGTGTAGGGGGAGGAGACCAATGCCTGTCTGAATCAGGAGAGGGGTGAGGGGGCTGTGGACAGCTGTTCAACTCTGCTAAGGCTGACTCCTCTTTGAGACCACCCCAGTCCTTTCTCCACACAGGGCAGCTGTGAGGACTATGGGGACGGGGGGTCTGTGTGTGGAAGCCCTTTGTGGACAACAAAGCCTTGCCCTCCGTGCCTCGCTATCACTGTCTAGGCCATGTGGCCTTGGACACAGACATGTGGTTTCCAGGGTCTGACTCCCCATGGTTTTCCCTCAAGAAACATTCACTCAGCCTCCTGTGAGATCCCAGGCCCCTCTCTCACTGCTCTAACCCGGTCTCCTGATTTCCAGCTTATAGAGACCTCCTGACAGGCCTGGAGCGGCTTCTGGACTTGCTTTCACAACTGCAGCGGTGAGGCACTTCCCCTTCCCTGCATCCTTCTTACTGGCAGCCTAGAGCTGACCTGGGATGGGGAGACCAGGGGGACAGAGGATAGGAGTAAAACCCTGGAGCAAGGCGTAGGAGAAGAATTGGGGAGTCTGGGTGTGGGGCAGTGGAGGCGCATAGGAGGAGAATTGGGCAGTCAGCATGTGGGGTGGTGGAGGGACATAGGAGGAGAATTGGGGAGTCGGAGTGTGGGGTGGTGGAGGGGCATAGGAGAATTTGGGGGTCTGGGTGTGGGGCGGTGGAGAGGCATAGAATTGGGCAGTCAGGATGTGGGGCAGTGGAGGGGCATAGGAGAATTGGGGAGTCTGGGTGTGGGGCGGTGGAGGGGCTTAGGAGAATTGGGGGGTCTGGGTGTGGGGCGGTGGAGGGGCAGGGACCCATACGCCCACTCTGCCCTACGGCCCTATCTGCTCCTGGCTGCAGCTTGTGCCTCCTGTCTCCTGCAGCATCCCAGGGCCACATCCTGAGAAAGGCAACTCTGGTCGGCTCTCTGGTCCAGATCCCCCAGGTGAGAAGTGCAAAAGAGCTCCCGATGGAGCCTCCCAGTCCCCTCAGGAGCCGATGGAAGATGCCCCTCCCATGCTTTCCCCATTAGCTTCCCCAGATCCTCAAACCCAGCATCCTTTGCCTCTGGTCTCCACCCCATCACCAGGCCCAATGGCCACCTCAGTCTCCCCTCTGAGTGCCTCCCAACCACCAGAGCCTTCCCTTCCCCTGGAACACCCCTCACCCGAGCTACTTGAGCTTTTCCCTAACCCACCACACACCCCTGATCCTCTGGCCTGCTCTCCGCCTCCTCCGAAAGGCTTCATTGCTCCTCCCCTGCGGGACTCCACTCTGATGACTCCATCTCACTGTGACTCAGTGGCGCTTCCACTGGGCACCATCCATCAAAGCTCATCTCCGTGTGAGGATTTGGCGACTTCTGGCCCAGCCATCTCAGGCCTTGGTGGCTTAAGCAGTCATGTCTCTGTGTCTGCATTCTGGTGTCAGGAAACTACCAGAACCTGGTGCGTCTCCAACCCATCGGTCCAGCAAGATCAGCTTTCCGGCCACCCACCAGAAACCTCATCCTCGGGAGACCCCACAAACAGTCAGATGGAAGCTGGAAGCTCCTTTTTGCTCAGCTCCGATGGCCAGAATGTCGTGGGAATACAAGTCACAGAAAGAGCCAGGATCATCATTCGGGAGGAAATAGAAAAAGATGGATCATTTCCAAAACAAACGAACACGGAAAAGCACTTGAATTCTTCGGGGAATTTGGTGAAATCATTGAATGCTGAGCAGGACACCACAACCCTAAAACCCGTCTGGGACATGGAAGACTTGAAACAATCGTCCAGTCCTCAGAAGCTCTCGGATCCTGGAATCCTGAAGGAACATTTTCAGAAGAATTATAGGCAGCTTTTCTGGGGCCTCCCCTCTCGGCACAGCGAATCCTTGGAGGCTAATGCCTGGGTGTCTGAGAGATCTTATACTTTACAGTCTCCTCCTTTCTTGTTCAATGGCATTCCCAATGTCCGCCCGGTTCAAACAGAGACTACAATGTCTCCACTGCTTTACCAGGCCCAGCGCCTATCCCATCTGAGGCCTGAGTCCCAACCCTTTATTTCGCCCACATCCCAATTCCAGCTCTCACACATGGCTCAGGCGGAGGCTGAGGCCTGTCTTCAATCCTCTTTCCCAGTCCAGTCTCCTGCTTTTGCATCCCCGATTAATAATTCTAGAGTAGCTTGCCTTGCGTCGCAGAATAAGAGGCAAGCTCTCACCTTACCTGAAATGCAGCGCCCTGAATGGTCTTCTAAACAACTAGAAGGTGGGTTGGCTTTACCCTCTGGGGCCCAAAAACCTCAGGATGTCTTTAGCGCCTCCACTCCTAACCTTCCCCAGGGCAGCTTGACAGCAATCATTCCTGAGAACCTTCCAGTCAGTCCTGAACTCCGGAGCAACCTGGGAATGACCCAAAAGTCTCCGGATCTGATGCAGCCTCAGGAGAACTTGCCGGGGACAAGTCAGGCCAAGGGCAAACTCAGACTCTTGCAGTTCTCCAAGTCCACGGGCGAAAGCAGCAAGGACATACAGAAGGTGACGTTCCCGCTAGAGAGTAATCCGTGCACACCTCTGGGACAAATTCGGGGGCAGACCCCGCAAAATCTAGCCAGGTGCATGGAAAGCTTCCCAGGGAAGGTTCTGGGGGCAGAACCTCAAGTCTCTGAGGAATCAGAAAGAGACTTGAAGATGCCCTTGAGGAGAGACTCAGAAAGTGATTTATTAAGACGCACAGAGACAAATCGTATAGAAAACATCCTGAAAGCCCACGTGGACATGAAGTTCGGCCAGATCAATGAGGGCTTTATCCCCATTCGTGTGCGTCGATCCTGGCTTGCTGTCAACCAGGCTTTTTCTGTGTCCAGCACCCACATGAAGACCAGCAATCTAACACCCCCGAAAAGTGTAAGAGCCAGTGTGAACACATCCCAGGAGCTTTCCTTCCTCGATCCGTGCACTCAACAGGTGCTGGGACACCACATTGTGAGGTTGTGGGCCCAACACAACTGGAGCCTACCCCTCAGGGTCCTCAAGCCCATTAAGCTCTTTAAACTGGAAAAAGTTTCATCCTTATCCCTAACACAGCTTGCCGGTCCCTCCTCAGCCACCTATGAATCTAAGCCTAGCTCAAAAGTTGAGAAAGCCACGTTCCTAAGAGAGTCACCACCGGCAGGTCTGAGAAAGCAGGTGCTGACCAAAGCATCTGTTCAGATGCCAGACAGTCTTCTGGTGTCTTCACCCACATTTACGAAGTTCCAGACGGCCCCACAAGGGATCCTGTCTTGGAATGCCCATGGGCCCTTGAAGCCTCCTCCAGCTGGACAGGAGGACAGGTGGCCTTCTAAGCCCCTCACATGCAGCCTCACAGGCAGTGCCCAGCAGAGCGGGAGCTTAGGAGCCCAGTCTTCAAGGGCTGGAAAGATCATGGAGGAAGCGCCACAACCCAGAGTCCCCTTGGGAACCTTGGCAAACCTCCAAGCCACACGTAAGGATGTGAGTGGTTCAGAGGCTCCACGAACCAGTAAAGGCTCTCAACTCCCTAACTCAGAGACCCAGCCTCAAGTCTGCGGCGTCGTTGTGCTCCCTCCAGATGGTTTTACTGACATTCCCCTTGCTACAGAGAGTTTGGCTTCTCAAGTGCCCCACGGCCGTCTCCAGAGCATGGCTACCGGGAACATGCAGGCTTCCCGGGAGCTAAGTGACCTTATGGCAGCCAGAAGGAGAAACCTGGGGTACAAGGAGCCCAAGAACCCGAAATGTCAAGGCTCATGCAAGAGCCAGAGCCGGATGTTTACCCCTACTCACAACAGTGAGAACCCAGCGAAGCCCAACTTAGAAAAACGTGAAGTAAGGTTTAAAGAACTGAGGACTCCCCAGCTCACCCCAGTCAGGAAAACAGAAAAAACCCGTCAGGATGAAGGCCTCCGGCTGCTGCCATCAAAGAAACAGCCTCCTTCAATATGCGACTTCGGAGAAAACATCAAACAATTGTTTCAGCAGGTCTTTTCAGTGAGAAAAAGCAAGCCAGTTCCAGTCACTGCCAAGAGCCAGAAAATAGTGAAGAACAGATCACATGTGTACAGCAGCTTTGCTGAAGCTGAGGGGCTCACGGCAGCAGCTGGACACATGCTGGAGAAAAAAATGACACTTTGCCGTGAGCATCGTGCCTCTGACATAAATCAGCACAAACAGGAGTTCCAAGCCCCAGTCTGTGGGTTTCCCTGCAACCGCAGGCACCTCTTCCACCCGGAACACAGCAGAATGCTGGGCTATGCAGCCAGCAGTCAACAAGCCACTCTCAAGAGCCAGAGTTACCCCAACACAGAGAAGCATATCAGACATCAACAGTCCTTGAAAAGTGTCCGGCGCAACAACGAGCAACGGGGCCAGGACAGCCCCAACTCTTGCTCCCCAAGAAGGCTGTCTTCCCCAGTCAGCGCCCCTCAGGGGCAGACTGAAGACAGAACATTTAATATTCCAACATAAATAAATATCTCCTTTTCTTTCCCCCATAAAAGGATAATGGCTTTTATTTGTGTCGTGCTTGGTGTGGGCTTGTTTTCTAGAAGTGACAGGACATGGAGGGATTCTGAGAATGGTGTTGTAAGCTGACCTTCATCCTAAGTTCCTTCACTGAAACTTAGGTTTCCATAATACTGTCTTTAAACAAACAACAAAAAAAATTCTAAAAACAAGATGAGAAAACCTATGAAGATCCCACTCAGAGATGTGGTTCAAACCCATCTTTCTACTACTTACTCTACCTCAAACTTTATGCACCTGTAGGAAGAAGGTTTGCAGAGATGTCATAGGACTGAATATCTCCATGCAGGCTCCAGGAACTGCCACAGTCAAGTAGCTTCATGTGTCACAAAATAGTGGAAGCTCGGGTGGGAGAGTGTGGACCCTGAGTTCAGAAGCCAGGGAAATCTTGACCCTGGATATCCTGGGGGAGAGTATATTAATGCCTGCCCTTGGGAAGCCCCTTCTCTCCCTCAAAAAGGCTGGGATGGAGATGGGCCCTCTTAGCTCAGCCTACATACAAAGCTCAGAGTCCCCATCCCACTGCCTCTCCCTTTCTTGCACTCTGGAGTGGGGGTGGGGACAGACCTTCCAGCACTGTGGATGTAAAATGGGGGGTGGGGGGAGGCCTTTATGGAGGCTGCTGAGGACCCTGAGCTCCCCTGCCTGAAATGAGTGAATGACCCTATTCCTGGGTCACCTGCCTTTGTCTGTCTCACCTATGAGTGTCTCAGCTTCAGAGAAGTAGCTCTGGGTGAATGGGCAGGGCATGCCTGTGTGCGCAGAGGCTTCCGATGGTGGGACTCTGTAGAACTACAGAGGGATGCAGACAGAGAATTGAAAAGGAGGCAAAGTGGTGTGAGGGCTCCGTAGGCGGTGCCATGACCTGTGAGCCTCTGACATTCCAACCCCTTCCACAGGCATAGAGGGGCCTATGGCTCATCCTGGTCCCCCCCGCCCCCCCAACCCCAGGGTCTGTCCCGGTTCCAGCTCCCAGACCGCAGACCTAAAAACGCAATTCCCCCAACACAGAGGGCCAGACCAGTGAGAAGGCAAAGTGAATAAGGGAAGATGAATTTCTTAACATCTTTAATAAGCTTGCGCATAGTAACCTGCTGAATATTTTTGAGACAGAGTTTCACTCTTTTGCCCAGGCTGGAGTACAGTGGTATAATCTCGGTTCACTGCAACCTCCAGCCCCTGGGTTCAAGTGATTCTCCTGCCTCAGTTTTCCAAGTAGCTGAGATTATAGGCACCCACCACCACACCTGGCTCATTTTTTACATTTTTAATAGAGATGGGGTTTTGCCAGGTTGGCCAGGCTGGTCTCAAACTCCTGACCTCCGGTGATCTACCAGCCTTGGGCCTCCCAAAGTGCTAGGATTACAGGCATGAGCCACCGCACCTGGCCTACGTACTGAATTTTTAAAAGGATGTGTTGACGACAGGTGAAAAAGCAAGGACTAGAGAACCCCAGGCATGACTCGGGAGTCTGGTGACCTTTAACATACACATAGCCCCGGGACTGCCCCCAGAGGAGAGGTGGTGACTTAGAAGGACCCCAGCAGCTGAGCTGGGGTCACACAGCAAATCTCCCCCGGCTCCTGAGGTCCTTTCTTGCCCCACAGACCAGTAGGGGAAGAGGCAGGCAGGCAGGCAGGCAGGCAGGCAGGCAGGCAGGCAGGATTTGAACACACAAGGCAGCTGGAAGTGACCTGTCCAGAATGGGCATGGGGTGGGCAGGGCAGGAGCCGTCCCCGCTCTGTCTCCCTCTGCTTTCAGCACAGCTTCCTCCTCTCTGGGCCCTCTCCCTATGGGAAAGCAGGAAGTCCCCACAAATCAGGGAGAGGAGTGTGAGGTCTCTAGAGGGAGTTTCCATGCCTTGTGCACATACAGGCACGCAGGAGGCCCAGTTCCGGGGGCCTCGTTTCCATGGTGGAGAGGACCGTGCCAGGCAGTGCCACTGATTTAGATGAAAATGGAAATGGCCCTGCCCCCAGCACGTGGGGGACTGGTTGGCACTTGGGGTAAAGGGGGCAGTAAGCAACAGTCCCCAGCATGTGGCCTGTCCTAGGGCCAGGCCTGTCTGGGGCCCAGATGACTGAGGCAGCCTCCAAGGTGGACCCAGCAGTGACAGCAGAGCCAGGACCAGCAGGAGGGGCTGGGACCTGGAGCAGAGATCAGCTCCAGTCCCCCTGGGGAGCTCAGGAGAGAGAGTCACAGAGCTGGGAGCCTGACTGCTGAGGATGGGCCATGCCTGGCTGCTGCTGGGTTCCCTCAGGAAACCGACAGGCGAGTTTCTGGGACGTGGAGGAGCTGGGCGTGTGGACCCCACGGCTCAGGCCAGGAGAAGCGCCACAGGAAACGCTGGCCGACCCACAAGAACATAGGAAGGCACGAGCAAGCCCTTACCCCTCCGCTACTCAGTCTCCCATGGGGTGCAGCAAGGCCAGCAGTGGAGGCCACAGAGACCTCCCACAGAAAGCTCACAGAGACATCTCGTACAGAGAGCCCACCGGGACCACTCACTGCCACAGAGAGAGACACACTGCGGCCTCCAGAGACCCCACAGAGCTCTCAGAGACCTCATGGTGCCCCACAGAGACACAGCACTGAGATTCCCAGAGTCCTCACACAGACCCCTTCAGAGAACCCCACAGAGACCACACTGAGAGACTTCATTCAGTCCCACAGAGACCTCCTGCAAATTTCAGAGACCTTCCTTGGTTCTCACACAGAGCCCTCACACCTGACAAAGGCCTCAGAGACTTTACACAGAATCATAAAACAGGGAAGTCATGCAAAGACTCATGCAGCTCACCTCGTGGTCTGCCTGCCTCAGCCTCCCAAAGTGCTGGGGTTACAGGCGTGAGTCACCTCGCCCAGCCTCTCTTTTATTTTTAAGTTGGAGTCTTGCTCTTTCACTCAGGCTGGAATGCAGTGGCATGATCTCAGCTCACTGCAATCTCCAACTCCCAGGTTCAAGTCATTCTCCTGCCTCAGCCTCCCTAGTAGCTGGGATACAGGTATGCACCACCAAGTGGGCCAAGCTAATTTTTGGTATTTTTGATAGAGACGGGTTTTTACCATGTCGGCCAGGCTGGTCTCAAACTCCTGACCTCAAGTGATTATTCACCCTCCATGGCCTCCCAAGGTACTGGGATTATAGGCATGAACCACTGCACCCAGACTGGTCCTGTAATTCTCTCTGGGCACCCTGGCCCTGTGAGCTGGAGGAGGGCAGGCGGGACCAGGCCCCGAGCAGCCCCTGATAGGTGTTGAGTGAATGAGGAGGGGTGGGGAGGGGAGGCTGGGGAAGGCACCCAGGATGTGTTCCTCCCACCCCCCAGCCTTGTCAGGCCTCCATGTCCTGCTGAGCTCTTGCATGGTGGTCCTTTCCCACTTACAGCTCACTGCCTTGGACTAGGTCCCAGCCGATGGCCCGGCAGAAGTGTCCTCTCTGTTCTTACCCAGTATGACCTAGATGGGAGCCAATAAGCACATGGAATGAGCATAGCCCTGAGGGGTCAAAAACGTGTGAGGAAGAAAGGGAGGGAGGGAGGGAGGGAGGGAGGGGGCAATGAATGACTGCATATACAAAGGAATGAGTGAATGAATGCCCAAACCAAGAAATGAGTGAATGAATGCACACACAAAGGAATGAATGAATACACACACCAAAGAAAGAAAGAAAGAATGAATGAATGAATGCACACAAATGAATTAATGCACACAAAGGAAAGAGCCAATGTATGAACATGCCACTGGTGGGGCGTGAAGAGGCCTGAAGAGACCCCCAGTTGAGGGGGCCCCACATTGTGTCCTTGCTGCTGAGGGACCTGGACATGCCGGTGCATGGGAGAAGGGCTTGGGCTTGGAATGAATTGGCTCACGGGCGACTCCTCAAGTGTCACAAGTAACCCTGAGCAGCAGGCTTTCCCTCCCGAGCCTTAGCCCCACCAGATGTAACATGGATTAGAAGAGCGACCTCATGGCACTTTTCTGAAAGTTCAGTAGGTGAAACTTGGTGGCTCACGCCCGTAATCCCAGCACTTTGGGAGGCCAAGGCGATTAGATCACTTGAGCCCAGGAGTTTGAGACTAGCCTGGGAAACAGTGAGACCCTGTTTTTGCTTAAAAAAAAGAAAGAAAATTCAATGGGGTGCCGGGTGTGCCAGTTCTAGAGCTGTGACATTTGTTTATTTGGTTCAACCCAAGCCACTTCAAACAACTGAGCGCCCCCCACCCCCAGCCAGTGGGCCAGGCCTCTCAGTGTCACTCTGGCTGAGGGTATGTGTGTGTCTCTCCTTCCTTTAACTGTCCTCATTCTTTCCATCACGTGTGTGTGTGTGTGTGTGTGTGTGTGGTCTTTTCTCTCTCATACACACACACCTGTCGAATTTGCTTGCTCTGACACACAGACACACAGTCATACTTCCTTTTAAAAATTTTTTATTTTTAGAGGCACAATCTTGCTCTGTCGCCCAGGCTGGAGTGCAACGGCACAATCACAGATCACTGCAGCCTTGAACTCTTAGGCTCAAGCGATCCTCCTGACTCAGCCTCCTGAGTAGCTGGGACAACAGGCATGCATCCCCATGCCTGGCTAATTTTTTTTTTTTTTGGTAGAGGTGGGGTCTTGCTATGTTGTCCGGGCTTGTACACTCCTGCTTCTGTATGTATGTATGCATGTATGTATGTATCCTCTTTTTTGAAAATGATTTCATTGACTCTTTCTTTAAGCACGGACTTTTCTGAAGCTCTGGGGACACGTGGAAGGGGAAGGGAGGGTTCTGGATACCCCCTAGGACCACATTGGCCCTGGGTGTAGGACAAGCCCAGGCAGGAGAAACAGACCCTGCTGCGGGGTCTCCTCTTTGCCTCCTCCCTGGGTCCCAGCTGGGTGGTCTCCTCGGTTCACTGCCGGCCAGGGTCAGGCAGTTCATGGCCAAGCCCACCGCTATGTCATCATTCCAGGGGGAAGGGGCTTGAAGGCTGCGTCATGGAGTGATGGGAACCTGGATTTAGTTGGTATGACCTGAGCTCAGGTTTCAGCTTTTCCACATCCTGGCGCGGCGGGGCCTTCGGGTGGGAATTCCTCCTCCGCAAAATGAGAGCTTGTGAAAATTAAAACCGGCCCCGGCATTTAGGAAACAGCCCTGTGATGTAGGTTCATGCTCTCATGACCCAAATACAAAAAAATTAGCTAGGAGAGGTGGTGGGCACCTGTAATTCCAGCTACTCAGGAAGCAAAGACAGAAAATTGCTTGAAATCCAGGAGGCAAAGGTTGCAGTGAGCTGAGATGGTGCTACTGCACGCCAGCCTAGGCAACAGAGCAAGGCTCTGCCTCACGAAAAAGAAAAAAAGGAAAAAAAAAAAAATGAAATGGAAGGAGATGAAAAGGAATATATGTAACATAGGCAAGGACTTCATGACTAAAACACCAAAATCGTTGGCAACAAAAGCCAAAATAGACAACTGGGACCTAATTAAACTCCAGAGCTTCTGTACAGCAAAAGAAACAATCAACAGAGCGAACAAGCAACCAACAGAATGGGAAAAAAAATTGCAATCTACCCATCTGACAAAGGGCTAATATCCAGAATCTACAAAGAACTAAAACAGATATACAAGTAAAAAGCAAACAAACCCATCCAAAAGTGGGAGAAAGATATGGACAGACACTTGTCAAAAGAAGGCATATATGAGGCCAACAAACATATGGAAAAAATGCTCACCATCACTGATTATTAGAGAAATGCAAATCAAAACCACATGGAGATATCATCTCACGCCAGTCAGAATGGCGATCATTAAAAAATCTGGAGACAACAGATGCTGGAGAGGATGTGGAGAAATAGGAA